TCCCTATGTAAAGGCCTCTCTGATCAGTGAGGGTCGACGTCTGAAGAAGCGGAAAACCTCCATCAAAAAGAACACCTTGAACCCCACGTACAACGAGGCGCTGGTGTTCGATGTGGCCCCCGAGAGCGTGGAGAACGTGGGGCTCAGCATCGCCGTGGTGGACTACGACTGGTGGGCCTTGGCCTGGGGGGCAGCAGGGGGCCCCACCTTGGCCTGGGGGAATGTGGGGGGGGCCCACCGACTCTTGGTAACCTTCCTCCGCCCCCACAGCATCGGGCACAACGAGGTGATCGGCGTGTGCCGCGTGGGCCCCGAGGCGGCCGACCCCCACGGCCGGGAGCACTGGGCTGAGATGCTGGCCAACCCGCGCAAGCCAGTGGAGCACTGGCACCAGCTGGTGGAGGTGAGTGCCTTGAGGGCTGGGCACGTGCCCACCCTGGCTGTCACCCAACCTCTGGCTGTCCGTTCCTCCGCTGAGACTGAGTGGAGAAGGCCGATCCCTTTCCTATTGAGGGAATGGTCAATTTGACTCCCACTCCCGAACCTTTTGGATTTCCTCCTTCAGGAAAAGACCCTGACCAGCTTCACAAAAGGCAGCAAAGGACTATCAGAGAAAGAGAACTCAGAGTGAGGGGTAAGGAGCCCAGATTGGGAGGGGGAGAGGCCCTGGACCTCTGGGTCTGAGGGAGAACACTGAGGCCTGAACCCCTGGGTCAGGAGGAGGAGGCTGGAGCTTGGAATGCTGGGTCTGAGGGAAGAAACTAGGGTCTGGAATCCTAGATCTGAGTGAGAAGGCTGGGGTCTAGAATCCTGATCTGAGGGAAGAGGCTGGGGTCTGAACCCCTGTGTCTGAGGGAGGAGGTTAGGGTCTGGACTCCTGGATGAGGAAGAAGCTAGAGACTGGATCTTTGGGTCTGAGGGTGGAGGCTGGGGTCTGGATCTCTGGGACTGAGGGAAGAGGCTAGGGTCTGGATCTCTAGGACTGAGGGAGGAGACTGGGGTCTGGATCTCTGGGATTGAGGGAGGAGGCTGGGGTCTAAATCTCTGGTCTGAGGGAGGAGGCTGGGTCTGGATCTCTGAGACTGAGGGAGGAGGCTGGGGTCTGAATCTCTGGTCTGAGGGAGGAGGCTGGGGTCTGGATTTCTGGGACTGAGGGAGGAGGCTGGGGCCCAGCCCAGCATGTTTCTCCCTGTGAAGCCATCACTCCCTTCCTCTGATCTCTCCTCTTCTGCCCATTGTGCAGGTCTGGCCTAGGCTGGGGATTGAACCAGGGCCCCTGATGACCCCATCCCTTCCTGCCCGGACCGTAAACTCATCTCCTCGAAGCCATAGTGTCCGAGCCGCCGGTGCAGGCAGCCCTGGGCCTGCGCTCCTCCCCGCTGGAGGTGTGCAGGCGGGTGGGAGGCTGCTGGACCCAGGCCCCTGTTTCAGGGTGGGGGGCATTCAGCCTCCACTGTTTGTCTTCTGTTCCCTGGGGTTCCCCCACAAGGCAAGGGGCCATGCATGTCTGGGGGACCCCCTCTCCCTAAATCCTCTGTCGGTCTCTGTCTTTTTACTGTTGTCCAAGACTTGGTGTCCTGACCCTGGTTCTCGCCGTGAATGTCACTGGGCCAATCCTCTGTGTGACCCCAGACACACACACACACACACACACACACACACACACACACACACACACATCTGTATCCACCCCTGCGCACCATTCTGTAGTCCAGCCGATCCCCGCCCACTGCTGCTGCTGCTACTGATGCCAGAATAAACACTCTGTGGGCCTCAAGCTGCCTGGTCCTGCTTCTCTGTGACTGTATTATTATTATTATCATCATCATCATCATCATCATCATCATTATTGTGCTGCACACACATGTGTATGTGCTGGTTCTGGGGCTTGAACTCAGGGCCTGAGTCCCTTAGCCTTTTAGCTCAAGGCTGGTGCTCTACCACTTGAGCCATCCTTCCACTTCTGGCATTTTTTATATTTATTTTTTATTTCATCCCCCCCTCACCCCCTTAAAAAATTTCTTTTGTACTTCTGGATTTTTGCTGCTTAGCTCGAGATAAGAGTTTCGACCTGCCATCCTCAGATCTCTGGCCTCCTGAGATGACACCTGGCAGGCAGGACAAGATTTGGGCAACTTTGTGTCAGTCTGAGCTTTAGTTCTTAAAATTCTCTTTGCCAGTACCACTATAGTGTATAGGACCCCCCAAATGCCGCTGTGAATGAAGACTGCAGCACAGTAAGCCTTCAGGCAGGGTTGAATTGAGGTGTTAAGTGACTTTCACATTTGCCTTCCCTTTCGTAGACTTCCTTCTTAGACATGTCTTGCAGGAGTTATGCGCTGGCCTCTGAGCTCTAGGCTTGTAATGCTTCATTTATTAGGAAGCGTTTGGTTAAAAACAAAAATAAAACCCTAAATCAGGATTTCCAAGGGAAAGATTCAGAGAGGAAGATTTGTTGTGTTCCAGTAACAGATCTCCTGAAGACAGACAGTCCCAGGGCTAGCTCAGCTGCGTGGCAGCAGGCGGCATTGAGTTGTGTCCCTGAGGCTGCTGTCCCTCCCCCGGCCTGGGTACAGACGATGTGTTCTCACATCATTGCATTAATAAAGCAGCCAATGTAGCCAGGCGCAGTGGTCACGCCTGTAATCCTACTGAGAGAGTCTGAAATCCAAGGATTGGGCTTCAAAGCCAACCAGCTCAGGAAAGGCCCTGAGACTCTAATCTCTAATTAAGCACCAAAAAAAAAAAAAAAGCCAAAGTAGAGCTGTGGCTCAAGTGGTAGAGTTCTAACCTTGAATGAAAAAAGCTCAGGGACAGCACCAAGGCCCTAAGTTCAAGCCCCAGGACTGGCACAAAAGAAGAAAAAAAACCAAGATAACAAAACAATAACAACAACAACAAAAAAAAAACACCACCTCCCCTTAGTGATCACTTTTTTTCCCCCTTCAGAATTTTTTGTTTTCCCAGGTTTCCCCCAGGAGACCAAAGCAGGATCCTGTCTACCCCAGTCTGGAGCACATTAGGGAAAAGGATTCTGATTGGTCATGCTCAGGCCTTGGATGGTCGCCTAGGACCAATCATTGCATCCAGTTTGCCCTTGGGCTGCACCCTCTGCCATCTCTGACTCCATTTCTACCTCCCCCCCCCCCCACCTGTTTCACTTGCTATTGGTTCAACCGCCCTCAGGCTGTCATTGCTTTTGGCCTGAATGGCAAATTCATGTCTTTGAAGATGTAACTTTCTTTAATCCAGAATTTAGGGAAATTCCTTGATTGACAGTCCTGAAGGCATTTCAGGGCAGTAGTCCTTCTAAATGGATGTCCACTACATTCCTTGTTGTTCATGTCTTGTCTCCTTTCCCAATTACAGCTGCTACAAAATATCTCCAGGCAAATGCTACCATCAGTGTATTTATTTTATTTTATTTTTGCTCTGGGCAATCAACAAATGTCTGCATAAATCGATTCCCTCTTGGAAGAAAAGTCCCATCAGGATGGCAGCAGGTAGCTTCCTTCCAAGGCTCATAGGAAAACTCCCAGCATGCCTCTGGCAACAGCTGCGGACCCCTGCCTTCCTTGGCTACTGGATGCATCACTCCACTCTGTCTCTGTCTTCCTGTCCCCGTCTCCCTGCTGTGGCTCAAAAATCTCCCTGTGTCTTTTTCTTTCTTTCTTTTTTTTTTTGGGTCCAGTCGTGGGGCCTGAACTCTGGGCCTGAGCGCTTCCCTCGGCTCTTCAGCTCAAGGCTATCGCTCTACCACTTGAGCCACAGCGCCACTTCGGGCTTCTTTTTGCTTATGTGGTGCTGAGGAATCGAACCCAGGGCCTCAGGCATGCAAGGCAAGCGCTCTACCACTGAGCCAACTTCCCAGTCCTATGTGTCTTTTTCTTCTAAGGACACCTGACACTGGATCTGGGGACCAGTCTAAAGCCAGGACCATCTCATTTGGAGATTCTTAATTATATCTGCAAAAAGCTTTTCTCCAATAGGTTCTACTTATGGTTCTCACGGTTAGGCTATCGGACATGGCTCCACCAGACACCACACTCACCTATGAAACTGCCAGTTTCTTTTGTTATTTTGTGGCATCAGGGGTTGATCCCAGGACCATCCAAATGCTAGATAAGCCTCACTACTACTTGAGCCACACCACCAGCCTTTTGTTGTTTTACAGATGGAGTCTTAGGAGTTTGCCCAGACTAGCTTTAACCTCAAGATCTGCCTGCTGCCACCTTCCAAATAGCTGGGACTATAAGCACGAACACCACACCCAACTCATGTCAATTTCTTTTCTTTTCTTTTTTTGTTGGTCATGGGGCTTGAACTCTGGGCCTGAACACTGTCCCTCAGCTCTTCAGCTCAAGGCAAGAGCTCTACCACTTGAGCTACAGCGCCACTTCCGGTTTCCTGGTGGTTTATTGGAGATAGGAGTCTCACGGACTTTCCTGCCCAGGCTGGCTTTGAACCTCAATCCTCAGATCTTGGCTTTCTTAGTAGCTAGGATTACTGGTGTGAGTCACCAGTGCCTGATGGCTCACTAGATTTTCAATCAACCTAAAACTTGTTATGTTTTTTCTTTCAAGTCAATTCATTACCAAAAAAAAAAAAAATCATGGTAACAGATGTCAGGCCCGAACAACAGGTGTCCATTATTAATGAGTGGCCTCTCATTAAGTTGCTCGCGTAGGCATGATTGTGGAGATTAGAAGTAATGATAAAGGCAGATAAATGCTCTTGCATATTGAAGGATTTGAGAACAGAACGTTAATTCCTGGATCCAGGAATATTTGATTTCTGCATCGTCTCATTATGAATACGCTAATACAGGGAGAGAGGGCGCCAATCGGGAACGGACCACCGCTGACATCACTGGTCACCAAGGCATCCCCTCCACCCCCCACCCCACCCGGCCCAGTGCTCTCTGGCGCCCTCTGCCGGGAAGCAAGGGACACTGCCCGTGAGAAGAGCCAACCCCAGGATCTGGCCAAGCCCAACACCCCTCACTCCCCTTGGCAACCCGGGTCACTTTCTATGCCCACATTGCTGAAGAACTCCTGCTAGAAGAGGAGACAAATGCTGAGAAAGGGGTGGTCCAAATTCCCTGACATCGAATCAGAAATAGGTATTAACCTGAAAGTGATCCAATCAGATTAGCAGGAATATCTCTGGTACCCAATTGGAGACGGCCGAGTTGCCATGACGACACGAGTTTCTAGAGGGTTCCCAAGGTCTGTAAGCCCCAGCGCTGAGTGCCTCGTGGTGCCTGGCAACGCTTGGCCACCTACTCCAGCCAGCCCGCACCACATGGCCGGCCGGTTGAAAGCAGCCAATAAGGATGGGCCAGGCCTGCATGACGTCACTAGTTGCCAAGCGGGCTGCCGAGTGTATGACATCCCGCGAGAGTTTCTGAGAGCTCCTTGCCCCCTCCCCAACCACGGAGAGATGGAGATGCGCATGTGCACATGCTCCTTTCGAGGGAGAGAAGCCATAAAAGGCGGGAAAGCACAAGAGGCGAGAAATAAGATGGGGATGGACAGATGGACGGCTTGACTGACAGATAGACCTCAAGGTGCCCAGGAACAGCCTAGAAGATGACTCTTAAAAAGAACATTAAAGCCAAGTTCTATTGGCTCACACCTGACATCCTCGCTACTCAGGAGGCTGAGATCGAGGATGGAGGTCCAAAGCCAGCTCAAGCAGGGAAGTCTATGCGACTTTTATCTCCAGCGAACCACCGAGAAGCCAAAAGTGGAGTTGTGGTTCGAGTGGCAGAGCACCAGCCTTGCCCAGGCCAGGCCCTGTGTTCAAGCCCCACAAAGGGCACGCGCGTGCGTGTGCACAACACACACACACATACACACACAGAGTCACAGAGGGGTTGAGGGTCTTCCTAGCAACTACAAGGCCTCGAGTTCAAATCCCAGTACCACAAAAAAAGAAAAAGTGTACCAGATAGAGCTGTGGTCCCCACGGTCGCCTGTTGCTAATCTAGGCCTCCCCTTGCCCGCGTCCAGGCCTGCGGGTCGCGGCAGAGCCTCGGCTGGAAGCGCCAGGGCTGCGCGCGGCGCGTCTGCGCATGCGCACGCGGCCGGCGCCGGCTACTGTATTCTCCCACCCGAGTAGCGTGGCTCACATACTGTACACATTGTTCTACGGCCTGCTTTTTAGATTCAACAATATGTCTTGGAAATCCATCCAGACTTATTTAAAGATCTGGGTCCCGTGCCTTGAAGAGCAGAGTGCTATTCCAGAAACCTCTGGCTTCTTTTCCTAGTTCTGTTCGTTCCTGAACGTGGAGACTTTTCTTGCTTTCCCCACTCCTGCAGTGTTGCTGGGTCATCTCTATCTCTGTAGGGTCAACGGGAGAGGTGCACTTGACAGGCCGTGGAGTATAGTCTGCCTCTACCCCCTCGCTCTCTACTGGGATGTGTCCAAGAACTAACTCTGTCACTTCAGCCACCCCTCCCCTTGCTCTTTTTCAGGTTTGTTTTGTTTTGTTTTTGTTTTCAGATAGGTTCTCAGGCTTTGGCCCAGGACTGACCTCAGACTATAATCCTTGTAGCTGGGATTCTACAGGTATGTGTGAAGATCACTCCTAACTTGTTTTTTGAGATAGGGGATCTCACTGTTTTTTGGGGGAGGGAGGAGACTGGGCTGGCCTCAACGTGTGACCCTCCCATGTCTACATTCCAAGTAGTTGGGATTATAGATAGGCATGCGCCACTATTCTCAGTCCAATAGCTTTTGACTATACCTCCAGCACCCAGCACCAAACTTATTCCAAATACTAGACAGATGATTAGTAAGCAGGGTAGGAGTGATTAGTGCAGGATGCAGGTGAAAGCACAGCCCTCAAGATCACACATCCTCCTCCCTGATTTTGTATTTAAGTTGTTTTCAAAACTGGCTGCCAGGCGGGGGTTGGGGGCTCACGCCTGCAATCCTAGCCGCTCAGAAGGCTGAGATCTGAGGACTGTAGTTCAAAGCCAGTCTGGGCAGGAAAGTCCATGAGACTCTTATCTCCAATGAACCACCAAAAGTGGAGCTGTGGCTCACACTCCTGAGCATGAGGTTTTCCTATTTATTCTTGCAGTAACATTGTGTAATGTTCAACGAAGAGTTGCGCAGCCTCTAGCGTTTATTTATTTATATTTTGCTGGTTCCAGAGCAGAACTCAGCACCTTGTGCTCTCTGAGCTTGCTTGCTTGAGTTCCCAGCCCTGGTTTGATGTGCTGGTTGATAGGAGATCAGAGTCTCACAGACTGTTCTTCCTGAACTAGCTCAGAACTATGACCCTCAGGTCTCAGCTCCAGAGTAGCTGGGATTACAGGTGTCAGCCACTGGTCCACGGCAACATCCTCTATTATTTTTATGCATTTGATGCTATTTAGGGAGAAAATAATATTTCTCATATTGGTCTAGTATATAAAAATATTATGTCTTATGGAGGGGGTAACAATGCTCAATAGGAAGTGTACTCATTACCTTGCTCATGTAAATGTAACTCTCTGTATAGTATCTTTACAATAAAAAATTTAAAAAACATTGTGTCTTGGGGCTGGGGGTTTAGCCCAGCGGAAGGGCGCCCGCCCGGCGCGCACAAGGCCCTGGGTTCGGTCCTCAGCCCTGGAAAAAATATATATGTCTTTAAAAAAAATTAACTCTATTGCAACCTAACTCAATTTCACATATTTCTTCCAGAGACTGTTTGGGGTTTTCTACATACATAATGTCTGAATCAAGAGAATTTCACCTACTTTTTTTTTTTTTTTTTGATTGTTGGTTTTATTTATTTCCTAGGACTTGAACTCAGGGCCTGGAGGCTGTCCCTGAGCTTTTTTGCTCAAGGCTATCACTCTACCACTTAAGCCACAGCTCCACATGTGTGTGTGTGTGTGTGTGTGTGTGTGTGTGTGTGTGTGTGTGTGATTAATTGGAGATAAGAGATAGGAGTCTCCTAGACTTTTTGCCTGGGTCGGCTTGAACCCAGATTCTGGGATCTCAGCCTCCATTAGTAGTTGGGATTACAGGTGTGAACACCAGCACCCAGCCACCTTTTTTTTCTCTTGAGATAATCACATGACAGGCCCTCATTGTGCTGAATTCCACTCATTGCTTTCTGAATGTTAAACAAATAGTTTTCCCCACTCTAAATCCCCTTGTTACACTGCATTAACCTTTTCCGGTATTCCTCTTTTGAATCTGCGATATTTTACTAAGGACTTTGTCCATGGCGTTGTGAGCAATGTTGGCATGTCGTTTTCTTTTCTCATAATGTCAGGATTTGATACTGGGATTTGCTGAGTGGAGAAATGATTTTGAAAGTGTCTCTTCCTCCTCTGTTTCCTAAAATCAAAGTTGGGGGCGATCAAGAATCTCCTTTGGGAAAGTAGAGCTGGGGCTCAAGTTGTAGAGCCTCAACCTTGAGCAAAAAAAAAAACCAGAAGCCGGGCGCCAGTGGCTCAGGCCTGTAATCCTAACTACTCAGGAGGCTGAGATCTGAGGATTGCCGTTCAAAGCCAGCCCGGGCAGGACCATCTGTAAGACTCTTATCTCCAATAAACCACTAGAAAACTGGAAGTGATACTGTGGCTCAAGTGGTAGAGCGCTCGCCTTAAGCTGAAGAGTGCAGGGACAGCGCTCAGGCCCAGAGTTCAAGCCCCATGACCGACCAAAAAAAAAAAAAAAGCTCAAAACAGTACCCAGGCCCAGAATTCAAGCCTCAGGCAGTGTACATACACACACACACACACACACACACACACACACACACACACACACACACACACAGAGCAAAAGGAACTGAGAAGCCGTGACTAACATGGTACAGAGTATGACCCTGGGTTCTATGCACACACACACACACACACACACACACAATAAAAGTTCTAATAGAAGCAACCTTACTTTCTGAGAAAGCTGGGGTAGAGCCTAGGACCTCATCTATGTGAGAGGAGCAACTCCACCTCTGAGCTACACCCCAGAGCCCAGCAGCTACTTTGTTTCTGAAGAGCTGATTGTTAAACCTTTGCCAGGGCCATCTTTGTTACTCACAGGCCAGCTGTGAGCTTGTGAAATCTCCCCCACCGTTTCTCAGTGCCCAGTGTAGTTCTCCAGGCTTTGGGAGACTCCATTTCAACATTTATGGCCATCAAATGGCACATGTGAAACTGTCACATCGGGGCTTCCTTTGACCCATAATGCTACATTCCATCCCTTCTCAGGATGGCCTCGAACCATGATCCTTGAGATTGCAGCCACCTGAGCAGCTAGGATTATAGGTGTGAGCCACTAGCTCCTGGCTCTATTGGGCTTTTTAAAAATGTAGCCCAGGCTGGCCTTGAATTCTAGGTCTTCCTCCTGACGCTGCCCCCTGGGTAGCTGGGACTGCAGGCATGCACTCGTGTCCCCCTTTTCCTTTCAACGGGCCGGCTCTCTTCAGGGCTCAGCTGCCCTCTTTCGCAGCTGTCGTGTGAGGTGGTGGGTGGAGGCGCCGTCCCCTCCTGGAGCTCTCTGCAGGAGGGTCACAATGGCCATGTGTCCCCAGGGGCGGGGAGGGGGGGACAGCCAGGAAAGGAGTCCCTACCCTGATGTGAACATCAGGAGACTATTCAGTGCCAGCCCGGTCAGGAGCTGCCTCCTCTTTGCCCCCAATTACCCAGCCCCCCTCTGGGGAGGTGAGTCCAGTAGAGGAGGGCAGAAGTGGGCCACACTGTGGCCTCCCCTCCACCTCCCTGCCATACCACACCAGCAGCCTCACACCTCCAGGTGTGACCCCAGCACCTGCTGCTGCCACCTGGGAGAGGCAGGAGGGGGGGCAGGGCGGGCAGGCACAGCCCCACTGACTCCTCTGGGCTGGGGGCTCTGAGCCAGGGCCCCCCAACTCTTCTCTGTCTTGGTCAGAGCTGCCAGTGGGCTCGATTCCCACCTTGGCCCCTTCCAGGGTCTGAGGCTCCATTCTAATGGAGTGTGGGGGGCAAAGGGGGGGAAGAATGGAGTTCCATAATCATCCCTGACCCTCACCTCTGTGGCCTGGCTGCCAGCCCCCTCCTTCCCCTAATCTCTGTCCAGCATTGCTCCCCTTTTCCTGGTCCAGGGACTTCTCTCTGGTTCTCTGGCCCAGGGACCTCTAAGAGTCCCTCTCTCGGCCTCCTTCCAGGGTCACCCTTCTGCCCCCCTCCCTGCTCTCACCCCCTCCCCAGGGCTCCGTCCTCGGTCCCCACATCCTTCTCCCATGGCAATGGCCCTCTGTCCACTCTGCAGATGTGCAGGGACCCCAGGACCCATCCTTTCCCTCCCCTCCCCTCCCCTCCCCTCTCCATCCTTCCTCTTTCTTCCCTTCCTCTTCCCCAGCCTCTCCTCCCTTCCTCCTCCCCCCATCTCCCTCTCCTGCCCCTCTGTCCCCCCCCCCCCCCGCCGTCCTCCCTCTCCCCGCCTCCCTCCCCACGCCCCCCCTTACTCCATGCCTTGCGTCCCCTCCTCTGCCCTCCCTCCACGCTCCCACCTCTCCTTCCTTCTCAGCCTCTCTCCCCCTCCCCCTCCCCTCCCTCCTTGCTTCCCCTCCCCCTCTCCCTCCTCCCCTCCCTCCTCCCGCCCGCCGTCATCAGTATTCCGCTCCCGTCCCCGGCGCTCGCTCTCGGCCGCGCTCTCCCGGTGGCTGCGGCACCGTCCGAGGCGGGGGCCGGGCCGGGGCCTGGGGGGGGTGGGTGGGGGGAGCGGCGCCGGCAGCCCGAGGAGGAGGAAGGACGGACGGAAGGAAGGAAGGAAAGAAGGAAGGAAGGACGGAAGCTTGGGAAGAAGGAGGCAGGAGGCAGGATTCGGGCGGGCGCGAGGCCGAGCGCCCCCCGCACCCCGGTCTGCGCTGGGCCCCCCCCCACCCGGGGCCCGGGGGCCGCCCCGCCCCCGCCGCGGGCCTCGCACCCCAATCCCGGCGCCCCCTGGGGGGTCCCCCCCGCAGGGCATGCTGTCCCCCGGAAGGAGCCCGCCCGCCGTGAGTAGGCGCCGGGGCCGGCGGGGCGGGGGTCCCGGGCTCCCGCGGGACCGGGCCGCAGAGGGCGGTGGGCGGGGCCGGGGGCGCCGGGGCGCTGCGTCGGGGATGGGGCGCTGCGCCCGGGCCGCGGGGTCCGGACGCGTGGTGGGGGGACGATCGGGGCTGGGGTCCGGGCCGCGTCGGGGTCCGGGCCGCGTCGGGGGTGGGGGGGAGAACGATCGGGGCTGGGAGGGCGATCAGGGCCGGGGTCCGGACCGCGTCGGGGGCCGGGCGCTCGGGCCGCGGGATCCGGGCCGCGTCGGGCGTGGGGGGAACGGGCGGTCGAGCCGCGGGGTTCGGGCCACGTCGGGGTGAGGGGCGATCGGGGTTCGGGCTGCGTCGCGGGGGGGCCGATCGAGGTTTGGGCTGCGTCTGGGGGGGGCGATCGGGGTTCGGGCCGCGTCGGGGGGAGCGGGTGGTCAGGGCGCGGAGTCCGGGCGGCGTCGGGGGGCGATCGGGGTGCGGGCGGCCGGGGCGCGGGTCCGCGCCGGGCCCCCCGCGCCCCTCCCGCCCTCGCCGCGGCCGGGGGCTCGCGGAGATGGGGAGGGGGAGAGGCGGGCACGGGGTTTCCTTGGTGACCGCGCCTGGCAGGAGCGGTTGCCGTGGCAACCGGGGAGAACCGGGGAGTTTGGGAAGTGAAAATGGAAAAGACCGAGGGGATGAATGGGGAGTGGGACACCCCGCAACCCGCCTTCCCGGGGACCCCGGCCTCTCCCCCCTTCTCCAGGACCCCGTTCCGCCTCAGGGCCTCGGTCCTCGGGCCTCTCCCGGACCCGGCCTCGCGGGGGACAGGGCCCCCTCCCCGTGCCCCGCCCCCTCCCCGTGCCCCGCCCCCTCCCCGCGCCCCCGGCCCCCTCCCCGCGCCCCAGCTCCCAGGCCTTCCACTCCGGCCACCCCACCCACCCACCCGGGCCCTCCCCTCTGTTTAGGACCCCCAGCTTCTCCCCTTCCTCCCTGGCACCCCACTTTCTCCTCAGACCTAGCTCTTTCTGGGGCCCCTTTTGTGACCTTTCTTCTATACCTTAATCCGCAGGGTCCCCCCCTCATCCCACACCCCTTACATCCCGCGACCCTCCTCTCCACCTGCCTCTCCCCTCCTTCTTCCTCCAGCTTTGGTCTGAGTCCCCTTCTCCCCCTTCTCCCCTGCCCTCTCCCCCCCAGGCTTCCACAGGGACTCGGGGCTCTCCCCAGGGCCCTGAGCCCCCACGCCCATCTCCACCAGCCTTGGCCTTTCCCCTCCCTGCCCTGTGCCCTGCAGCCTCTGGAGCTGCTCCCAGGGTGGGGTTCCCAGGGTGGGGGAATCCCCTGGGGAAGCCCAGCTGGTGGGGGGGGCTCAGGAGGTTCCACCCCCCCCCTCCCCAGCTGGGATCTGCCCATCACTATGCACCTCACACCCGAGTCAGGCCCGGCAGCCAGACAGGAACTGGGCCTCCAGTGACAGCTGGTTGTAGCTTAGGCTGCTTCTCTTCTGTTACCCCCCCAAAAAAACAAACCTGACCCCCACCCTCCCTACCAGAATGTGCCTAGGTCAAATGCCTCTTGGCCCCATTGTCTTCCTTCTCCATCCTCCTCTCCTCTCCCCTCTCTACTGCCCCATTGGGAAAGGACAGACAGACAGTGGAGTTGGGGAGAAGCCAGGGAGGGGATCCAGCCCTCCAAACTGCACCAGGCTCCACACTTCCTCACTTTCCTGAAGGAAGGGCAAGGAGGGGAGCTGCCATCCCCATTCTCACACTAAGCCGAAGAGCAGCAGAGGGGACCCCAAACCAGATTCCCCCCCCCCAGAACGAGGACAGGACAGAGTAGGCAGACACCTCCACAGACCGTGGTAGCCTGAGCCCTAGATATGGAACCCCAAAGACAGCCCCCCTCCAGGGTGGCCCCAGAGACCCCTGCCCTCCACCTGACCCGGCCACACAGGCAGAGGCCTGGCCACTGCCGCCTGCCCCTGGGGACACAGAGCCAGGGCACCCAGAGAGGCTGCCCAGGGAGTGAGAGCGGGGTGACAGAGGGACACCCCCCCCAGTGCCCAAACCCCAATCTGAGACAGGCCCTGCTTCGGAGCCATGCAGAGACCTAGGGGGTCCTCCACGAAGGGGTGCGGAGCCCTCAGCCTCCCCATGGATCATCAGAGGTGTTGCCCAGCCTGGCCAGGTGCAGGGCACTGCAGGGCCATGTGGACAGGGGGCTGGGTCCTGGGCAGAGAGCCAGGAACGCATGGAATCCACGCTTCACACAGCACCCCAAGTCCTTTGCCCCTTGCCCTCATCTCTGGTGGGCTTCTGGCTTACTGCCCATGTGTTTCTGTGCCACCATGTCCCAGGCCCACACTCTGGCACCCCCCATGTCCCCCCTCCCATGTCCCATCTCTCCACTTCCCTAGGGCCTGAGATGCTACTATGACCCAGTGCTGGGGTGTCACCCCTCTCATGCCCATCTCTGTCCACCAGTCTGGCTGCCCCAAGCCCATTCAGGGTCCTGGGGTTTGAACTCAGGGTCTAGTCTGGGTGTTGTCCCTGAGATCTTTTTATTCAAGGCTGGCACTCTACCACTGGAGCACAGCACCACTTCCGGCTTTTTGGTGGTTTATTGGCAATAAGAGTCTTACAGACTTTCCTGCCTGGACTGATCTTAAACCTCCATCCTCAGATCTCAGCCTCCTGAGTGGCTAGGATTACATGCATTTTGTTTTTGTTTTTGGTCAGTCACGGGGCTTGAACTCTGGGCCTGGGTGCTGTCCCTTAGCTGTTCAGCTCAAGGCAAACACTCTACCATTTGAACCACAGCACCACTTCCAGTTTTCTGGTGGTTCATTGAAGATGAGTCTCACGGCCTTTCCTGCCCATGCTGGCTTTGAACTGCGATCCTCAGGTCTCAGCCTCCTGAGTAGCTAGGGTGACAGGCATGGGACACCGGTGCCTGGTTAAATGCATTTTTAAAATAGCAATTTTGTGTGAAAATCCAGATCGCCAGCTTCTGTTGCAAAAGCAGTTCTTGCCCCGTGGGGCACAGTGGGCTGTGCCTGCAGGTCCCAGGCTTGCCAGCCCTCCCCTTGCACTACCCGTTTCCAAGGCTCTCCCAGCTGTCTTCCCTAGGGGTTGGCTGAATGTCCGCTGAGTGATCGTCCTTGCTTTCTGTTGTCTTCCCCTAGGTTCCTTTACCCCAGAGGCTGCCTTTGTCCCTTCTGTCTCCCTCCATCCTTCTGTCCCCCTCCATCCTTCTGTCCTCCTCCATCCTTCTGCCCTGGACCTGTTGGTGAGCAGGAAGAGCTCCTTATCTGGGGGGAGTGGTCCTGGAGATGGGGTGCAGGGTACATACAACTTGTACTGGGCCAGTTCTCCGCCCCCCACCCCCACCCCCGCACTGTGATCTGCAGCCCTGCCGTGGAGGGAGTTACTAGGCCCCAGTGGTCTCCATTAGCCATGGGGGGGGGTGCAGCCAGGGTAGAGCTGGCGGGGTAGGGGGAGGGAGGCTTTGGTGCTTCTCCTCCAGAACTGGACAGTGGAGTCCCTCTGTGCCCGCGCGTGCACAGTAGATCTCTGCCCACGGTCCCTCACCTGGAGAGAATACCGCTTCTCTCCCTCTGGCAGGATATAGGAAACTAACCTCTGAGTTTGGGGTTTTCCTGGTCCCTGAGGTTGGAGTGCTTTGCCAGACGGGGTGGCAAGAAAGCAGAAACTGTGGCAGGTGCCCCTTGTTGCCTGGAATGCCCCCATACTTGTCATGGCAGTCAGAAGGGGCTGCACAGACCCCAGAGATGGGTTGTGGGGGTCCTTTAGAAGGGACCAGGGGAACCCATCGTGGGGGGCAGGGAGAGATAGAGCGGGTGTCCCCAGGACCGAGTGGTGGTGGGGAACTGAACCCACCCTGCCAGCCCAGGGAGGAAAACACAGGCCTGAGTTCTGGTCCGGAGACCTCCAGGTTCAGGCAGCTTGGCCACAGCTCGGAGGGGTGGGGGGTAGGGGGAGAGAGGCTGAGAAATCACTGGAGAAATGGCGGATATCTGCTCTCTCTGATCTAGACCCAACCAACAGAGCCAGAAACAATGAGAGCGGCTCACAGCCTCAGCCCTGCTCTGTGATGGAACTCCTGTGGGGCTTGTATACATCAGTGCTAGCTTGACAGATAAGGAAACTGAGGCCCACTGTGTGCCCAAGCTCCCACAGCTAGGAGCGGCAGAGCCAGGACTCCAAGCCCTGGACAACTGGGCAACTGCAGACCCAGTTGAGACCACTTCTGTACAGGGGGAAACTGAGGCTCAGAGATGGGCATTTGGGCCCTCCAGCTGGAAATTAGGAAACAATTACAGTAATAACCATGGGATTGATCATAGACTCTTGGAGAACAGGACTTTTTGGGGGGAGGGGGTCCCATGTTGGGAATGGGAGCCTTATAAGTGCTAGGCAAGGAGTCATGGCCCCAGCACAGAGCCACGCCCCCCAGCACAGAGCCACGCCCCCAGACCATTTTTTTGCTTTATCGTTCAGGTAGGGGCTTACCTGTACCCCCAGAGCTAATCTATGCCATGATGTTTCTACCTTCTCCTCCTGTGTAGCTGAGGCACAATGCTCAGTTTATTATTATTAATTATTATTATTACTATTAGGATGGGATCTCACTAATTTCTTTCACCCAGACTGGCCTGGAACTGAGACTTTCCAGATCTCCACTTTCCGAGTAGGCAGCCTTACCAGCAGCAGAACTGTGCGGATGGAACTCAGTCTCTCACTGGCTAGGCAGGGGCTTTACTCCTGCCAGCCTCTTATTTTGTGTTGATTGTTTTTGTGATGGTCTCATTTTGTGTCAGGGCCAGCCTGTATCATGATCCTCCTAGTTGTGCTTCCCTTTATTGCTGTATAGTAGGAATATATGCAGCACTGCACCCAGCCCTGATTGAGGTGGAGTCTCATGGACTTTGTGTGTGTGTGTATGTGTGTGTGTGTGAGTGTGTGTGTGTGTGTGGAGGGGGGAGGCGGGGAGGAGAGGAGGCTGGGCTAACCTCAAACTGCAGCCCCTGGTCTCTCCCTCCAAAGTAGCTGGGATTGCAGGCTTGAGCCACAGTGCCTGATCCAGGTACCAATTTTTAAGAAGAGGCGCTCTGCCTCTCGATGGGCTGTCTGTCCTTAACCACTCCTCTTCGGAGAACCAAGGACACCCACGCTGACTGAGCCAGTGGTTCTGAGTCAGTTCGAAACGATAACTTTATAGCTGAGGGGACTGAGTTACAGAATGGGGAGGTTTGTTCTTCTAGCCCAATAAGGGTAAATGATATAGTGCTGATGGCTTCCACCTGCCATCCTAACTACTTGGAAGGGAGAGACTGGAGGATTGCATCTGGAGGCTAGCCCAGCCATCCAACTGCAGGAGACCTGGTCCCAGTCAGTCTGTGGACATAGTGGGTACAGCTGTCTCCCCAGCTACATGTAAACAGGAGGATCAAGGTCAGGTAGGCCCAGGCATAAACTCAAAACCCTATTGAAAAAATAACTAAAGCACAAAAGGTCTGGAGGTATGGCTCAACTGGTAGAGTGCCTGCCTAGAAAGTTCGAGGCCCCGAATTCAATCCTCAATACCACAAAAAAGGCAGTAAAATAAAAATAAGATTTGCTCAGTAATTCCACTCTGGCTGGTAACTCACCCTCCTCTCAGCCCTCCCTGTACCCCACCCCCACCCTTTGTCCTTAGCACCCACGTCCCAGAGGAGGACACAGGGTGACAGCAAGGTTACTGCTCTGAGCAGACTGTTGGCACCAAGGGATCTAGAAGCAATGTTGTCCCCTCCCCGGCCGCCATCCCCTCTGGTCAGTCAGGCCCTGCCACGGCTGCTCTGCGCCTGCGCAGCCCCCCACGCTCTCCACTTGGGTCAGTTTGCTGTATCCTGTCCACCTTTCCATGCTGCCGATGCTCCTCCCCACGCTCCCCTCTCTCTGTCTGTCTCCATCTCTCACACAGGCATCTGTGCCCGGGCTGGTGAGAGGCCAGAAGGAAGGAAGACCCCCACCAGGGTCTCTGTCCCCCAATCTTTTTTCTTTTCCTTCCTTCCTTCCTTCCTTCCTTCCTTCCTTCCTTCCTTCCTTCCTTCCTTCCTTCCTTCCTTCCTTTCTTCCTTTCTTTCTTTCATCAGTTGTGGGTCTTGAACTCTGAGCATGAGCGCTGTCCTTCCGCTCTTCAGCTCAAGGCGAGTGCTCTACCACTTGAGCCACGGCGCCACTTCTGGTTTTCTGGTGGTTTATTGGAGATAAGAGTCTCATGGACTTTCCTGCCTGGGCTGGCTTTGAGCCACGATCCTCAAATCTCAGCCTCCTGTGTAGCTAGGATGACAGGAAGGAGCCGTGCCCAGTTGTCCCCCAATTTTGTTACACAAGGGCACTTCACCTGCACACTTGTGCCCTCCCCTCCAGCCCCAGCCGTTGTGGGGACCCCCCCCCACACACACACTAGAGGAACTCCCACTCTTTCTCGGCATCTGCCAGAGGGAGGCAGAGGATCATGGCTCAGTGCTCAAGGGCAGAGGGAAAAAGAGAGGCCATGGATGCAAGGAAGACAGAACGAGAGGCAGAGCTGGGGGATCCCTTGGAGAAAGGGCAGTGTCCTCCCCACTCCCAGTACTAGGGACACCTGGCTCTCCTCAGCCGCAGCCCCTCCCTGCTGTGCCCAAGATCCCTGACCTCCCCCCTTAGAGGACACTTCAGCTCTTGGCACTGTGAGGCTGGTCTTACATTTTATCATTTCAACTCAGAATTTGAACTCAGGGCCTTAGGCTTGCTTGGCAGGCGCTCTACCACTTGAGCCACCCCCCAGAACCTTTACACTTTAGTTTGATTTTTTTTTGCCAGTCCTGAATCTTGAACTCAGAGCCTGGGCACTGTCCCCGAGCTTCTTTTGCTCAAGGCTAGCGCTCTACCGCTGGAGCCACAGCACCACTTTGGCTTTTTCTGTGTATGTGGTGCTGAGGAATTGAACCCAGGGCTTCATGCATGCTAGGCAAGCACTCTACCCCAGAGCCACCTTCCCAGCCACTGATTTTTTTGGGGGGGTGGGGTGGGGATAGGTTCTCTTGATAACCTAGCTTGAGACTCAGATCCTCCTACCTCCACTCCGGAGTAGCTGAGACTACAGATGTGCACCACAATACCGGCTCCTGACTTGCTGTTATTGGAAAGCACTCAGATATGGACTGGTGCAGAGGCAGCCCTGAGGGGAGGTGGCCTTGTCCCTATGCTCGAGCTGCGGTCCCCTCGCCCTTTCTAAAACGGGGAAGCAAGAGTCCTTCTCCCCCCACTCCTTTGGCTTGGCTGTGCGTCCACCCTCCCGGGCTCCTGGCTCCAGTCAGGAAGTTCTTCTTC